ATATTAAATTAATAACTGATATCGGGCAAGTAGCAGGCCCTAAGAATCTCCAACTCCTTTTTAAAACAATGGGGTTTTTAGGGGGGGGGCAGGGAACAAGGTTTCTCTGTGGAGCCCTGGTTGTCCTGGAATTTGCTCTGTAGACTAGGCTGGTCTCTAAATCAGAGATCCTCATCCCTCCCTCCCAACTGCTGCAATTAAAGGCTTTTATCACCAAACCTGACTAAAAACAATGGCTATTTATTTATTTATTTATTTGTATGTGGGATGTGTACGTGTGTGTGTGTGTTGTACATCACAAGCATGCAGGTGCCCAAAGACACCAAAAAAGGTGTCGGATCCTCTGGAACTGAGTTAAGGGCACTTGTGAGCTGGGAAACATGGTGCTAGGAACCAATACAGGCTTCAGGCAAGTGCAGCAAGTGTGTCAGACACTGAGCCATCTCTCCAGCTCCCATTCTCCGACATCCCTGTCATCTGTGAGACAGGGCCTCAGTAGCCTTGTCTGAGCCTACGGTGGAGATGAGGCTGGCCTCGAACTCTTAGAGATCTGCCTGCTTCTGCCTTCCATCACACCAGTCTCCTAGATTAAGGTTATTATGATTCAGAAAAATACCTGGTGTTTGGGACCAGGTACTGAGGTGCATATCATAGACATTAAAGCAGACCTGGCCTCCAGGTTCTCCCAGCCTTGAACTTTCATGCACAGGGGCTGAGCTGCCCTTCCCCCAGAGACTCCTCCCTATATAATCCAGACATTTTGTACCTCACTCTCTCCCTCTTCCTCTCTCTTTCCTAAGTGCACCCTTTCTCTCTTTTTCTCCTCTCCCCTCTCCCCTTGGCGACTTCCCTTGTCTCAGTCCTTGGGATCCGTGAACTCGCCAAGAGCAGCTTCTCAATAAACCTGCCTTTAATCTAATCTAAGCTGGTTTGAATTGGCTCATTTCACCTGCAGAGAAATAACCTATTACCTGGGAAATGGTTTCTTTGATAACAAAATCCTTTTGAGTTCCTATTTGAATCAAAGTTCAAAGGAAATTTGACACAGAATCTTTATGCTGAACTACTTCCAAAAAATGGCCACAGTAATCTCTCTCTATGTCTACTTTCCTTTCGACTTTGCTTTCAACTTGTTTTGACAATAAAATGAAGTAGAAAAGTCGATGTGTAAATTTGCAGTTTCTTAACTACATGCTCTTGGAAGCCATATAGCATCGAGAGGTATTTAAATGTTTTTCTCCATTTATTTTTTTGTGTGTGTTGTCTATGTGTGTAGGCATATGTGCCACTGTGTTCTTATGGAGGTCAGAGGACAACTTGCAATAGTTGGTTGGTCCTCTCCTACCATATGATTCCCAGGGATCAAACTCAGGTCATCAAGCATCGTGGCAGGCATCCGTTCTCACTGAGCCATTTTGCTGGCCCATAGTCTAAATTATCTTGCTAGAAGCATGTCTCATCCAGCAGTTCCAACCAACCTCTGGATCACTGACTGAGGTTGTCTAAGCCATCCAAACCATTCAGTCAAACTGCATGTACATAACTTACCCAAAGTAAGACCGTAGGAAGAACCGCCTAACTAAACCAATCTCAAACTGCTGACTCAAAGAATTGTGAGAAAATAAAGGACTATTTTAAATCAGGATATTTTGGAATAGGGTATTCTCTCCCTCCTCTCAAAAAAACAAAAAAACAAAAAACAAAAAAACAAACAAAAAACCCCCAACCAACCTAATATAGTCATCATTAATAGATTGTTTTTCCAGTTATTCAGACTTTTAAAGTAAGTTAGATACGCAAGACATCAGCTAAATGCAGAAAGTGAGATACAATATATGAAGTATGACCAGACTTCAGTAAGTTAACAACGTGTATCAGGAGGTAAATAAGAGTTTAAATAACTATCACACAGGACAACATAACATAAACATATAACTATTACATTGTGTAAGAATTTAAATACAGACACATTTTTTTTTTTGCTTGAGGGGCTAAGGCAGAGACTTATCAAGAAGATGATGTCAGAAATACCTTGAAAGAATTTGGTAGTGAGGCAGAAGGAGAGGGCATTCCAAGGAAAGGAAAATGACCTAGGAAAACTGTGGTCTAGGAAAGAAAAAGAACCTGAGACGCCTCAGAATCGTCCATTTAGTCAGAGTACCGTATAAGCATACAGATGTGTGAGGGCCATTCTTCATTCAACAGACACCAGTCTGATGTCAGGCACTGTCTACTGCACTAATTATTACATAGCAGACCTGGAAGCTGGTCACTACGCCAAGATCCCTGAAAGTGATGGAGGATGTTGGTTTTGGTTTTGCTTTGTTTTGTGTGCACATGTATAATGGGAACTGGGGAGTGCATATGGAGGTCAAAGGACAACTTCTGGGGCTCAAACGTAGGTCATCAAACGTGTGGGGCAAACATCTTTACTCCATGTGCCATGTCAGAGCCCCCTTTATCTTTTAGAGGCAGTGTGTCTCCTGTAGTTCAAAGTGGCATGAAATTTACCATGCAAAGATAGCTTTGAACCTACTGTTGAGCCATATTGGGATGGGCTATGTAGTTAAGTGGTAGAAGACTTTCTTAGTATTAGGAGGTCCTGGGTTAGCTCTCCTGCACCAAAGGAAAAAAATTGACATAAGGGACAAAAGTCTTCCACCAAACTAAATATCTATTATCAGTTGTATAGCAAAATAAACTTTGGTAAATTAGTATAATGCAATACCCCATAGCAATGAGAGAAAATCAATGCATTGCTACTGTTACTACCAGAAATAGCTCTAGAAACCAATATGAGAAAAGCCAGCCACTTAAAGAATGAGGAGAAAAACCTAAGTAAGAATATAATAACACTGTATAAAGTCAGGGCAGACTAGGCGAAACTACAGAACAGATTGTTTAGAAATGTTTAAGTCTGGCAGAAATGGTGGTGCATGCTTTCAATCCAAGCACTTGAGGGGCAGAGGCAAGAGGATCTTTGTGAGCTGAAGGCCAGCCAGCGCTACGTAGACTCTGCCACAAAAATAAAGCAAAGAAAAAAATGTTTTATTAAAAAACTACAGGACAAACACAGGAAGGATTACCATTCAGTATAGCTGCTTCTACAGTTAAAGATGATTTGCTACCTCCTCAAATTATACATATAGGTTTGTACATCTTATTTTTATTTGACATATGTATAAAACATACATCTTACGCCTTATTTTTATTTACCTATGTATACATATATATGTGTGTGTGTGTACATCTGTTTATTTACTTCACACACACACATGAGATATGATTGATTTCACACGACTGACCACTACTATATGCTTCAAAAGAGAATCAGGGCTTACTGGATAAAAGGGATTGAAAGGAATACAAATTTGAAAGAAAGCATTTCAGAATGTGAAAAAGACAATCAGTACAGAAGCAGAAAAGAAGGCAGGCAGCAGTGGAAAACAATGGAGGTAATTTTTGCAGCAACCTGTGATATTTATAACAGTAGGGAATAAAGTTTCAGCAGAATGCAGGGATCCTCCTGTGCTCTCACAGGGGATCTGTAGCTGCACACTGGAAACAATAGAGACTTTGTGTTAGTACTCACTTGTGTAGGCAACAAGAAACAATTGTGGCTAACTGAAATGGGTGTGTGTGTTTGTTTATTTGTTTATTTTTAAAGACAGAGGGGGTGGGAGAGGAGGAAATGGGGGGGGGGAAGAAAAGACAGACTAGTTTATTGGATAGGCTATATAGTCTAGGAACCCAAAAGATCTGGGAACATTGACGACATCGACCGGCTCTTAGAGCTTTTGATTTCAACTAATCTCAGGCTTCCAGTTTACAGGAGTCTGACGGGCCTACGGTTTGTTTCCTCTTGTGTGATCCGGGATCTGTGGAGCAACTGCTGATCATTATGGTATGAGAAATATAGATTAGCTAGTCTACCAAAGGGATAAAGAAACGGTGAAGACATATACACACATCCACGTGCACACACCAAAAGTATGGATTCCTTAGTAAACTACAGTATGGTAACTGTGCAAAACCTAAGAATGACCACATTCACGTCATTAATCCTGAGATAACACAAACATGTAATAGGCTAGTTGAAAGTAGGGTTTCTAGCCCTCATGGCAGTAACGTTTTCTGTTTAGGATGCCCTCAACTGTTTCCTTCTCAAATAATATACTCAAATTGCTACACACTGCCTCTAATAGGAAACTCAGATCAGCCATCCTTTGCAAAAGACCTATTAGGTCAACTAACAGAAAATAAAGATATAGAAGAAAATGGGAGTAATGATGCACACCTGTAATCCTAGTTTTGGGGAGACAGAGGCAGGATCAGGAGTTGAAGGCCTCCTTCCTCAGCTACAACAGGAGTTTTGGAGGCCAGCATGGAGAAGATACCTTGTCTCACACAAAGGCAAACAACCGCACTGGGAGGCAGACCTAAGGACTAGTAAAGCCACTAGTAAAGCTGTAACCCCTATTCTTAAATTTACTATCAAAGCTCCCTATTCTGATTCTTCAAAAGCCGGAAAAATCTGCTGAGCGACGAACCCCTGGGACTAGCGCAAGCCGAACCGCGCCTACAGGACTGTAGTTCCCAGAGAAAGGGGCATCGCAGGGGCGTGGGGGGGATGCCGCACATGCGCACAAGCTCCCCGGTCAACAAAGACGGCGGCGTGCGCGCGCGCACACCAGAGCCAGACCCCGAGGACGTGCGCGTGCACGGCGTCCGCTGAGAGGTGCCAGCGGGCCAGAGGACAGAGGAAAAGGAGGGGCAGGAGCCACCGGCCGCGGCGGGAGGAGGAGACCGGGTGTGCTCCTGGCCAGCGGAGGAGAAAGGGGCGGGGCCGGCGAGCGGCGCGTGCAGGTGCCGGGCTCCCGGGCTCCGCGGGCGCGCGAGCGGCTTCGTGGCCCCCGCCGCCGCAGTGGCCGCCGCCGCCGCTTGGTCGCCGTCGGTCTGCGGGAAGCGGGTTATGGCGGCGGCGGCAGTGGGAGCTGTGAATGAGTTCTCCGGCCGGACGACGGAAGAAGAAAGGCTCAGGCGGCGCGAGCCCGGCGCCCGCCAGGCCTCCGCCCCCCGCCGCGGGCCCCGCCCCTGCCGCCGGCCCGGCCCCTGCGCCCGGCTCGCCGCATAAGCGGAACCTGTATTACTTCTCGTACCCGCTGGTCGTCGGCTTCGCCCTGCTGCGCCTGCTGGCCTGCCACCTGGGGCTCCTCTTCGTGTGGCTCTGCCAGCGCTTCTCCCGCGCCCTCATGGCCGCCAAGAGGAGCTCCGGGACGACGCCGGCGCCCGCCTCGCCCTCGCCCCCAGCGCCCGCACCGGGTGGCGAGGCCGAGAGCGTCCGCGTCTTCCACAAGCAGGCCTTCGAGTATATCTCCGTTGCCCTGCGCATCGACGAGGAAGAGAAAGGTACCGGGGGCTGGAGGGAGGCGGCGGCGGGCGGCCCCGAGAGGACGCCACCTGCGTCCCTTTCCTGCACCCCCGGAGGTGATCTGCCCCAGGAGTCCGAGTCCCCACCGGCCAGACCCTGCTCTGCGACGCCTAGTCAGTTGATCCTCACCCTTTTCAGGGCGCCCTAGGTCTACTTTGTTTCAGCACCCCCACACTTGTGCATTTCCAAGTCCCGGTGAGAGACCCAGGCGTGCTAGTGACAGTGACAGTTGGCCTAGAGTGACCACACGGGATTCTTTCTAACACTGTAAACAGTGTTGCTTTCTCTGAGTTGAGCTTCCAAAAGGTTTTGGTGTCTTAGAAGCTGTGTAGAAACTTAATGAAAAGAGTTCTGTAGTGTTTGGAGAGGAAAAAAAGGAAAAGCGTTGACTTGAATTTGAAAAGGAGAGCTGCTTATAATTAGAGCCGAAATTGCCGTGTTCTGAAGTTTCATGAATTATTTTTATCACTATAGTGAGTCTTGAAGATTGTTTCTATTGAGCTGTATTTCAACCTCTGGTTGCTTTGGTTTTTATTAAATCTGTATTCCAAGGCACTCTCAAGTTTCTAAAATTTAATGTTAAAAATGTTAAATGAGCCGGGCAGTGGTGGCGCACGCCTTTAATCCCAGCATTTGGGAGGCAGAGGCAGGCGGATTTTTGAGTTCGAGGCCAGCCTGGTCTACAGAGTGAGTTCCAGGACAGCCAGGGCTATACAGAAAAACCCCTGTCTCGAACAAAACAAAACAAATGTTAAATGAATGAGTTGGGTAGACATGCATATATTATTATACCATGGAACATAAAACAAAGGCTCCTGCCTCGCGGTGAAGGCAGGGATACTGGGTTTCCTTCAAGCAACATCTTTTAGCCATTCGGTGTGGCAGGCGTTGTGCAATTCACTTTACATGTGTCTTTGATCCTCACAGTAATTCTGAGGTTAGAATACTATCAGTACAGGTCTTTTACAGATGAAATTACTATTTACAAGATGGAAGCAGGTGGCACCAAATCCATGCTAATCGTTAATTTAAAACTTGTGTGGAAAATGTTAAGTGGGGTTAGAAAGTCTTATGTCTATTATTGTCACCTACAGTGTTCTCCAAAGAAGCCCAGATGCCCTAACCTGGCTCTGTATCTATGCCGGTCCATCCACATGTCCACGGTGGAAACTGAACAATCTAGTTCTCTTACTGTGTTGTTTCTGTGCTCAACACCAGAGACTGTTCTAGTGTCTCGGTCTTGTTTACACATTTCTAACACAGGGCCTAAGGATAAACAGGGGACATGGTGAGAGAGGTAGCTGCCCATGATTTTGGAGTCCAAGGACAAAGTGGGGATTGAGTTCAAAACAGTAGCAGACACAGGAGAAGAGTATTTTATGTTTGTGAGAGCAAGCTTTTTGTTCTTTTCCTCGCTTCTTTATTACTTCTTAGGAGCATCCAGCGATCACGTGGGGAGGATGGAGAAGGCGTTCCTCCTCTCGTACATGAGAGAGTAGATTACTTAGGGGTTCGAGGATATAGTTCAGTGATACACTCATGCAGTATGCTTCAGAGCTTGGATTTACTTCTTAGTATCTTGGAAACAAAGCCAACAAACAAAAATTTTTAAAAATTAGTTACATCCGTTTTCCATTAAAAAGAAAGCTGGAGCCAGCGGTGGTAGCCCCTGCCTTTGATCCCAGCACTTAGGAGATAGAGGCAGGTGGAGCTCTGTGAGTTGGAGGCCAGCCTGGCCTACAGAGCTAGTTCCAGGACAGCCGGGGCTACACAGAGAAACCCTGTCTTGCAAAACTAAAAAAAAGTAAAGAAATATAGCTGGGGTGGGGGGTTGGGGGGTTGGAGGGTTAGTGGCACAAGGCTGTAATCCTAGCACTTGGGACAATGAAGATTGCCGTTGTAGGCTACATAGCAAGACTTTGTTTCAAAACAAAGCAAAAGGTAAACTGAATCTGTATTTTCATGATTCTTTTCTAGTCTAAATTTTTTTCCCTTAGCATATTAGAAAATTCTGTAGCTTATCTTTAATTCCATGATTGAAAAAGAATTCACATTTGAAGTCTGCAGCCTTTCGGCTATACTTGACAACTCAGAGCTTACTTCCAAGAGAGTTTAGTTTTCTTTCCACTGCATACAGATATGTGAACAGATAGACTGAATTGAGTATGCAGTGTTCAGAGGCTCTCTTGACTCTAATACACTGTTAGTGGGCGGCCATGTCTTACTCACCAAATGTGTGCAGTGCCCATGGCGGTCAGGATGGGTCCCCTGGGACTGGAGATACAGTTGTGAGCCACCGCAGGAGTTTAGTACGGAGCCCAGCCAGATTCTCTGCAGGAGCACCCAGTAATCCTTTACTGAGCCATCTCTCCAGCTTTGAATTTTGTGGGCATCTAATGGTTGAACTTCTTTGAAAGCGTGATCATCTGTGACATCCATTTGTATATGAAGAATCAAATTAAGGAGTGAGCTCAAAGTAGCAGAACAAAGAACAGAGTTAGGTGGCCAAACTTAATATAGGATCGTTCTTTATTTTATTTATTTATTTACTTGAGATTATATCATTTCTCCCTTTTCCCGTTCCTCCCTCAGACTCTCCCTTGCTCTCTGTCAAACTGATGGCCTCTTTTTTCATTCATTATTATGTGCATATATAATTTCATACTGATCAGTGTTTCTCTCTCTTTTTGTTTTTGGTTTTGTTTTGTTTTGTTGGGACAGGGTTTTTCTGTGTTGCCTTGGTTGTCCTGGAACTTGCTTTATAGACCAGGCTGGCCTCCAACACAGAGATCCTCCTGCCTCTACCTTCTGAGTGCTGGGATTAAAGATGTGCCCCACCACTGCCTTGCTGATGTTTCTCTTTTTCGTACTGGAAAAGAGCCAGTCCAAATACTTGAGGGAAAGAGTTGTCATCATGGGTCTATGGATTAACTAGAACATGACCTAGCATGTTTTGTGGGATTTCTATCGATAGACAAGTGTGAGATCTCCTAGATAACACAAAGGTGGAGGTTCAGAAGGCGTGGTTTGATTTCTCAGGTTGCTAGTACCTAACTGTAAGGGCTGCAGTGTGCTGTGTGAAAGAAAGTGAACCAGTTTTTCAGGATGCTGTAAGCTGAGGAATCTGGCATCAAGATCAGAAGTATCTAAATAAAATAGTCCTCATCAGTCCAATTTTTTTCCACAATTTAATTTATTAATTTTCCTTTTGTGGATGTGTTTGTGGTTTTCTGGGTATACACGGGTGCACACATGCCATCATGTGCATGTGGAGGTCAGAGGTTAACCTGTGCTGGTTACTTCTGTCCTACCATGGGGGACCCCAAAATCAAACTCAGATTGTCAGGTTATCAGGCTCAGCCCTCTTAGTCATGTACATATTTTGGCTTACAGTTCCAGTGTGCTAAGAGTTCATCACCCTCATGGCAAGGAGGCATGGCAGCCAGCAGGGAGGCATGTGGCTGGACTAGCAAGCTGAGAGCTCATATCTGCACCGTAAGCAAGAAGCAGAGAAAAGGAAAGGAGAGGAAATGGGAGTCTTTAAACTCTCAAAGCCCACCCCCAGTGGTAGTCTTCCTCCAGCAAGGCCACACCTCACCACTTCCCAAACAGCACCAAAGAGGACCACGCATGTATAGGGAACATTCTCATTCAAAGCACTCCACCATATAATTGTCTAATATTTTTTGTTTGTTTGTTTTGGCTGTCTTGGAACTCACTATGTAGACTAGGCTGGCCTCAAATTCAGAGACACATCCATCTGTCTCTTCCTCCTGAGTGCTGGGATTAGAGTGTGTGCCTCCACTTCAGACAGTGATTTTCTAACATTGTACATTATTTGAAACACACAAAAGCCTGTCCACATCTGTCTTCATAGATCGAGGGTAGAGAGAAGTCAGTGGGTACTTTCATTCCTGAAAAGTGTACGTCTACCATGTGGAGAGGATTAACTTCAGACTTAGTTTCCTTTTGCTTGTTGACTCTACTTTAGCAGACTATGGTGGGTCACACCAGTGCCCAGCACTTAGGACACTGAGGCAGGGTGATTAATGAAGCTTGAAGCCACCTTGAACTACATAGTAAGTTCTACAAAATCCTGTTTCAAAAACTGAAAGAAAAAAAGATTCTTTTTGAAATCTTCCTTGATTAGAGGCAAAACATGAGGCTCACCACAGGTTAAAGGTCAGCATGGTCTGTTTGGGGAGTTGGTAAGCTGCATAGGGACTCACCAACTGTGATGGGACCTTGCTGCAAAGGCCTACCAGTTAGAATATAGAAAAAAAATAGTATAAGAACATTAGAGTTTTTCACAAGCATCGCCTTCTTACTTAACTGCTTAATATTTAGTGTTATTTGCAAAAAAAAATAATAATAATAAATAAATAAATCAAAAAACAGCCACTATTGGAGACTTCATGCCTTGTTTGGTTTCAGTTTTGTGTTAAAGCTTTTTTTTTTCTTTTTGGTTTTTCCAGACAGGGTTTCTCTGTGTAGCCCTGGCTGTCCTGGCAGTCACTCTGTAGACCAGGCTGGCCTCGAACTCAGAAATCCGCCTGCCTCTGCCTCCCAAGTGCTGGAACTAAAAGCGTGCGCCACCACTGCCCGGCAAAGCTTTTTTTCTTTTTCTTTCTTTCTTTTTTTTTTTTTTAAAGCTATCAAGTGTACTTTACTGAATCCACTGGATAGATAAATTAGTGTTACACCTGCGTGTGGGGAGGCCCAAAGGGGCAATGAAGGATGCAGCTGAGAATGATGGAGCTCTCAGGACCAGAAGCCAGAATTCTCTATTAAGTCTAAAACGACCAGCGTTAGAAGCAATGATGACAACAGCAACGATAGTGATAGCAACCATGAGGATGCTGAGGACCAGGGAGCTGATGTTCAGGCACTTGGCGGTGGAGGCGTAGGCCTGGGCTCCAGTCACATCACCCACCATCTTCCGGTCCCTAGACTTCACAGAGTAGGCATAGGCAATGAA